CAGGCAGCCTGCCCCAAGCATGGATGGCACCCCAGGGAGAAGCCCCAACAGTGGCCCTGCGGCACATGTGGTGCCCAGATGGGACATGGCTCCATCCTGCACCCTGCACTGGGGTAGGAGTCCAGCAGCCTGGATGTGGGTGCTGGGACCCTGGGCCGGGCAGCACCGACCGGGTGCAGGCTCATGTCACCAGAGCAGGGGGGTCAGAGCACGCAGCATCCCCCCTCTCCATGGATTTCCTGAGATAATCCAGTGTTGATATGGCCCAGGGTGGGGATGGGCATGGCAGACACACAGCTGCAGGGCTGCCTGGAGCCCTGCCTGCCTGCACCAGGTCCCTGTGCCTAGAAGCAGGAGTTGAGTTCCCCCATGCCAGCTTGGGATGCTCAGGGAGGGGTGGGCAGTGGGGGCGAGACCCCCCCAGTTCTGGCAGGCTGCACGGTACAGGCACACCTGGCAGCCACCCCAAGGCTGATGTTTGTCCTCACAGCACCATGCTCGCCAACGCGGCCACCATGCGGATCCTCATCAAGGGGGGGAAGGTGGTGAACGATGACTGCACACTGGAGGCAGACGTCTACATCGAGAATGGCATCATCCAGCAAGTAGGCCGTGAGCTCATGATCCCTGGTGGGGCCAAGGTCATCGATGCCACTGGCAAGCTCGTCATCCCTGGCGGCATCGACACCAGCACCCACTTCCACCAGACCTTCATGAACGCCACCTGTGTGGATGACTTCTACCACGGCACCAAGGTACCATCTGGCTGCAGCCTCCCCCTGCAGCCTCCCTGTGTGTGCTGCCTGCACCCTGATTCCCTGCTCACGGAGGGCTCCGTGGCTCCTGGGGTGCCACAGGGTGTTGGTGTGGAGCATCCAGGTTGCCCAGAGGGGCAGTGGATGCACCATCCCTGGAGACATTCAAGGCCAGGCTGGATGGGGCTCTGAGCAACCTGATCTAGTTGAAGATGTCCCTGCTCGTTTTAAGGGAGTTGGACTAGATGACGTTTGAAGGTCCCTTACAACCCAAACTATTCCATGATACTATGATTCTTCCATAGGCAGGAGGGATGATGGGCAGGCAAGAGTGTTCAGCAGCCAGGCTCCACCAGTGGGAACTGCATGGTTTAGGCAGGCTCTGCCCTGGCACTATGGGCAGCATCAGCTCCCTGGCAGCCTGGCTCAGTGTCCCCGTGTCCCCATTCATCAGGTCCCCTTGCTGTGAGCATCCTCTTCCCTTGCTGGGGCAGCCGGTGCCCACATGGAGCCCTTCTGCTCTCCACACACCACCAGCTGTGTACCCCTGAGCCAATGCTGCTGGCACAGGGCAGAGTGGAAGATGCACTGATAGCAGCAAGGCTGCCATGGGGCTGCTCTGCAGTGCCAGCCCAGCCTGGGACCCTGTGGTGCTATGCTCTGGGTGACGTTGCTGGGGGGTGTCAAGGGGCCTGAGCAGTGCCAGGGCCGGCTGTCTCCAGCACCCTGCACAGAGCTGCTATTGTGCTGTGCCAGCGCTATCTGTGCCTAGCCCTGCCGTGAAGGGGTTGGGGGGATAGTCGCATGCTGCAGCACAGAGAGGCACATGGAAATGTGTCAGAGGGAGGGCAGGGGGCCGGTGCAGTGACCACAGGCACCCACTTCTATGCTGCTTCCCATCTCCATCCCAGCAGGCTGCCTTATAGCACCGCACCACCACCACTGGCTGCGCCAGCCCGTGAGGGCAATTGGTAAAGGAGCTTTGGGGATTAGCTGGGCTGGGTGAGCCAAGGACACCAGCGGGTGTGACCGTGCCTGTCCTGCTGCCCATGTCTGCCATGCCAGGGGGCTCTCCCTGCAGCCCAAATCCAGTGATTGGTGCTGCGGGAGGCAGTTGGTGCCCTGGTGGGCGGTAGGATTTTGGGTCTCCAGATGTGTCAGGCACCCAGATGTGCTGGTGCAACT